CAGCCTTCATTCGCCAATGGCCAGCTCTCCCAAGGGTGGTGGTACGTAGTCATAGTCACCTCTACCTGCTTTTCAAGCTCAAGTCCGCTTAGATATTCTTGTCGGTCCATGTCATGTCAGTAGCATACGTCGAGCCAGGAGAGCGTTACACGCTACGCAAGGTCCCTAGCGTTCGCGGTACGTCAACAGATTGAGAATCGAGTGACTATTTCCTCACTAGCTACATGGCATGTAGGTTTCTACACCGCCATCTACCGCCTCGGGTACCGGGAAACGTTCAGTGTCAAGGTCGACAACTTCATAGACACGATCTGCGCTCTCGAAGCCCGCGAGGACCCTGTCAACAGTGCCGCTACTATCGCTGAGGTCCAGGCTGCCGCCAAGAGGGTTACGCACATGTACGGTACCCACATTGGTCTAAGAACGTACTGCTGACGGCCACTTGTAGTGCCCCACACTACGTCGTGTCAAGCAGAAGTCTGGGGTCGAGCAGGTTCATGAGGGCGGTGTCATGGATACGCAAAGTTCTCATCGAGGATATCTATCGTCGCCTAGGTAAGTGCAACAATCATCCTTGTGGATTTCGGACTAAACAACTTCTCAGCCACGATGTTCCCTGACACCGACGGATGGCTCGGCTCCGCGGATGAGTACGTCGCTATCTGGTTTGACTAGACACTTAACTTACGATAATACTCCAGGATTATCCATGTGGGTGTTAACGCTACGCTATAGCTCTGCTACATCGGTTTTCTATCTCTGTCTTCTCCGTCTGTAACCTCACGCTCGCACGCTATATATCAGTATATATACATATGATCAGTACGCATATATTTAATAGTCCATCATGAGGAGAACCGCCTTTCTCGCTCTAGGAGAAGTGTGTGCCAACATGCTCTAGTGTACCGGAATATATGGACAGCGCCTCGTCCTCCGTGAGCTGTGTAACGTTTGGCATGCCGTACGAAGGCATCGTGCGCCCGTCTGGCAATTCATCTGGTTCGGCGTCGCTGAGACTGCTGCTGCTGTCGTCTGAGCTTTCAGCTAAACTCGACGGGCGGTACTCAGAGTCGTCATCCGAGTCCGCTCCGCCTGAAGGACCAGCTTGGTTAGGATTCGCGTCGTCTTCGCCGTACAAAGGGCTGTGGTACAGAGCAAGTTCGCTTGCGCTCTCCTTGATTTGCAGGCCGTAGAAGTCTTGTATATGGATTCGGTCGTCTTGTTCGTCGTGCCATGGTGGGAAGATGTACGGAACATCGGGAGCCCAGCGGAGGAGATAGATATCGAGGTACCGCACGTGTTTCCATTTTGACCCTTCGTGATGCTTGAAACTCTTCGTCGCCGATGGTGCGGGGCACAGCGAGCCTTTGACGACGAGGTCGACATGCTCAATTGGCCTGAAGAAGGCGGGGGATCTCTTCAGGAGCCTCAGGTGCTCCGGCGACGTCACCCGAAGAACCACGTGTTCAAGGTTAGGGCACTTGCTAAGGGCATGCACCTGCCTCTCGAACTTCTCGGTGTCGGCGGGCCAAGAAAGGTTCCCTCCGAAGTCGACGTTGGTTAGCTTCGGCCCATACTTGATGAAGAAGGGGTTGAAGCTGTTCTTCGTCTCATCTTTGAGGCTCATTTCCGGCCGGAAGCGCAGAGACTTCAGCTTGGGCATATTCCACCAATATGGGACGTGAAAATATTTATCTGCAGGTGTCGACCAGAAGGTTATGGTCTCCAAGCGAGGG